CAAACGTATTTAAAAACAAGTAAGAAAGTCTAAGTTCGGGCAGAGCCGAACATTAAATACCCGGCGCACGTATTAAATATATGTTTTACGCCTTAACGAAAGCTACGGCTACATGGTAAGCCGGGGCGTATCAATTTTGAGTAATTTAGAGTCCTTAAATTTCGATTTTGAAGTTTCAAGCAGTTCTGAAATTTACCGTTATATGAGAAGCGGCCGTTATTTTAGTCCGATTTCAATAATTTTCAACGGTTTGCTTATATGTGGCAAGCACAATAACCACACCGAGTTTGGTACAAATTGGTAGAACGGTTACTGAGATACATATATGTGATCATAAGTGGGCGGTGCCACGCCCATTTTCCAAAATTTTACCACAAACGTATTTCTTGGTAAAGAATTGTTGCAAGCATCAATTTTGAATAAATTAGCTTCAATATTTAATGATTTATCGAAGATTTTGTATTTCTCTAAATTACCGTTATATGGGATGTGGGCGTGGTTATCGTCCGATTTTAAAAATTTTCGGCGATTTTGTATGCTGTACCAAGGCCGATAACTGTGCCAAGTTTGGTAGAAATTGGTACAGCGGTTACCAAGATATACACATGTAACCATAAGTGGGCGTGGCTACGCCCATTTTCCAAAAATGTATAATATTCTTATTTTTTGTCAAAAAATTATTGTAAATACCAATTTTGAGTGATTTATCTTCAGTAGTTACTAAAATATCGCAGTTTTCGTATTTCTGGAAATTACCGTTATATGGGAAGTGGGCGTGGTTACAGTCCGATTTCGCCCATTTTCAATACCAACCTACCTTGGATTAAGGGAAACCTACATACCAAATTTCGTTGAGATATCTCAATTTTTACTCGAGTTATCGTGTACACGGACAGACGGACAGACGGACAGACGGACGGACAGACAGACATGGCTTAATCGATTTCTTTTTTCATCCTGATCATTTATGTATACATTTGTCTATATCTATCTCGATTCGTTTTGGCTGTTACAAACAACCGTTATGTGAACAAAATTAATATACCCTTGTGCACAAGTGCGCTCGGGTATAAAAATTGCGGTTAGAAAATTTTAATTTGTGTTAATAAGGCAGCAATAGAAAGCAATTTCTTAACTTCGAAAGTAAAGCGCAGAATTGAAACTTCGAAACTATATTTAGCGCAGCGTTTTTTTTTTTATTTTTTATTTTTTTGGGCTGAAAGGATAACCTGGAACTAGGTTTTTATTACACAGGAGTGGATCAATAGATTATTGACCAGCAGAGTAAATGATTGCAGACTATGCATAAGTCACACCTCTTTTAGCTCAAAAATATATGAATACAAAATTGCATATCGATGGTCCTCTGGACTAACGATACAACTCAAAACTAAAAAAATAAAACTGAAATTGACATATGTATTTCTCTTGCACTTTCGCAATCCACTTCCAATGTTTACTAAATCTTAATGACTGTCTTCTGTTTGAGGTCAGATTTTGTTTATTGATTTATTACAAAAAGTCAATCAACTGCAATGGTTTTTACTGACACTAACACTATCCTAGGCTTAAAGACTCAAAATTAGTAAATAATAAAACACGATCTTTGTCAAAGAAAAATCAAGCATAGTAGGATTCGAAGTGAAGGCGCAGTTGAGGCATTCTTAGCATAGTTCGCAGTGAGGTTCTTGATATGAAATGTACAATAAAAACGCAGAGTCCTCGTTAGGATTAGAAATTGAATAGCACGCATCGGTGAAGGGAAATCAATATGTTAATCACGTCAAACACAAAATGGGAACAAATGGTCATCCGTATTTCAAGAGACTCTAAGAGAAGAAGGGATTTGCAGAATGGAACGAGAACGGAAAATGTTAAACAACCAAATAAGAGTAAATTTAAAAAAGACCCTTTAAATACGCTCAATTCTATCAATAACAAATTTTGAAACTTCACAGTCCTTTAAAAGGTCCTGACGTCAGAGAAAAAACCAAAAACACAACTTTACTTTTTGCCTCATAGTTTCGTGAATATATTGTTTTTTTTTTTGTGTGTAAAAGTGAACGTCGCACAGTGTTATCCACATAATTTCAAAGAGATAAATGAAAACAAAATTTGCATCATCGTTGTACGAGTTTATTTCTTATCTCAGGCCTGGTTTAGTAGCACCTACTACCTATTATCTTACAAAAATATTTCATCTTCTTCTTTGGAAACACTCAAACTTTTCTTACCGAGTCAAATAATAATACGTATGAACATATATATTTCGCAAAGATTTTTTTATTAGAGTATTGTCGCTTTTGGTGCTGTGTATGCTGTATTGTGGTAATATCATCTTTTGTTCAGACATTCTTCAAACCTTATCAAATAAATACATATTTGGCGCTTACATTTTTGCTAAGTACTTGGCCGAGCTTATCCCCGAATTTGTGTCATGCGAGCTGATTTTATAATACAAATGGAGGCGCCCCTAATTTAGCGCCGGCACAGAACGGGAAATGATTTTATGAGAAGCCTTTTCATGGCAGAAATACTCTTAGTTGGGCCATTGCCTGAAGAGTAGTGACCGCCGGTATATAAAGCTTTTTTGTGATTCTAGATGCTGCATATGTACATATATACATACATACATGTATTCGCAACCTATTAAATATGGTTAACAGATTTACCCAAAAAAACTGCTTATTATAATATCAGAGGATAGTATTTTATAGAAATTCTTAACTTGCGTAGCCGGCATCAAAAACCCGCAACTTTTTATAAAATAAAGTTTAACTTTTAGTTGAGTATGCAAACCTGCAGCAAATATTCATCGCATCTTCACACTTTCCAAATTCGAATGCAAAACATTTACAGTATACATCTTTCAGTATATCTACAATGATAACGCGTTGCTTGTCTAATAAATCCAAATACTCTGACAGCAAGCAGAGCTAAAGTAAATGATAAAATAAATCTACAAGCGAAAGTGAAATAAATAAACAGATATAGCCAACGCAACTCACTTAAAGGGGTAGGTTATCTATTTAAATATTTTGTGCGGACAGTAGTCCCTTTTTTTGTAGGCATTTAAGTATGCTGGAGTGTGTAAAATATGGGTCCACTTGCTTGTGCCAACAGCCAACCAGCCACCCATCCACCCATNTTGTTTGCTTTTCTTTTTTGTTTTTGTGTTTTTTTTTTCTTCAGCTCCATTCGCATTGTGTGTGTACGTTTTATTGCGTTTTGTTACTTTTTATAGCCTCGGCCGCCAGCCGCGTTTTATGCAATATTTATTATTTATTATATTTGCTCACACATAATAAAATTTCTGTGAAAACTCAGTACGCAGCAGCACAAAAACAAAAACGAAAATATACATATGTATGGACATAAATGAACTATCCAACAGCTACACTGAGAAAAGAGTTTAGTTACGTCAACTAAGTTTGTTTCAATCAACACATGATTCGGTTATAGTTTCAACATTTATTTTATAGTTATCAAATCAAGTGTTGAGAGAAATATATTTAACTGACTTTTTTCTGAGTGTACGAAAAAAATTCATAAAAAATGTGTATGTGCCCAAAACATAGACGTTTGTAATTGTTTTTATTTTATTACCTTTCCCCCATCAGCATTGTCTGTTCACATACCACCTGGCCCTTCATGTCGAACTTTGATAGTTTAAATGAAAAATTCGCAATTTATTTACATGGATTTCGTTTTTTATATTTTCCGCGCATACCCGAATTGTACGAAAAGCAGCAGCATGTGTGTATAACGGTAGTTTGAAGAGTTACAAACATTCACGATTTTTATTTTTTGCGCCAATTTTTTTAAGTTAAAAAAAATCCTCACCAGCTGGCGAATTTGTTTCACATTTGTAAAAGTGTTGTATGGCAATGGAGTGCAATAAAAGTGGTTAAAAACCACAGATTTTTATTGAGGAATTATTGACACTTTCAAAAACAATAAGGCGTTCAACGGAAAATTTCCCTTTTTTCAAAATTTCAACATTTATTTATTTCTTATTTAAGTCTAATTACACTGGTGGGAAAATCGCAAGTTTTAAAATGACAAAAAAAAACTTCGAACACGTGAATTTAATATTGGGTCATTGATTGTGCAGATATTTTCGTTTACTATGAAAAATATATTCAAAATTTAGCAAGAAATATATAACAAATCTTTTGTCATTTTTTGAAATTTCTGTCTAATTCTTTTCAGCGGATAAATTAACTTTACAAAAATACCAAACATGTTCACATTGCAGACAATGAATTTTTCGATTTTTGCCCACTTAGGCGGCACTCTGCGCGTAGATCTTTTTTTTACTTTAGCTTCGCTTTTGTAGATAAGTAAACACTCCTAGAAAAATGATTCTATTTTAAGACATATTTGATATACTTGGGGTACTCACAGCGGTGTTGTAAGGGTCGTATTGTTGTATGTCGTATATTTTAAAAGCCTAAAAAATATATTAAGGGGGTTCGTAAAGTACCATAAAAGGCATATTATGAATTTTCGCCGTGTTAAAAAACAGGTGGTTGTGGTTTCAAGTTCTCTAAACATTTATTTAAGCTCTTAAAGGTTACGGCATACAACAATACGACAGTTACGGCACCATTGTGAATCCCTCAAATATTTTAATATCCATAGCTCACCTTAGCGGTTGCTACTCTTTTATACATTACTCATACGCCCTGGCAAATAATATCACGTAGTTGGCCAACACAAAGCTCTAACTTCTCTAATAAGCTCTAATTCACCTAATAATAAATAAGTAAATAGTAAAATTGTATTCCCAATTAACCATTAAGAAAATCTACAAAAATTTTAAAATATTTATTTTGAATTTCACTACAACAGAAAAGTTCACTTACCACGCAAACAAACTTATGCTTTTTAGTAAACACCATATCTTGCTAAACAATACAATTTCTTTTTCGTCTATTACGTCTCTTGTAAAAATGCATTAATTAATTTTTAATTTTTTATAATAATTCTACTTGCAGAGCACAATAGTCGGTGAAATGAGTACGGAATTATGAGAATTAGCCAAATTCAATAGGCGTCAATAGCCGAAGGTGGAACAGCAAGTGCCAACATCACCAGTTTTGGAGCAACAACAGCAACAAACTAAAAGAGCAGATTATTCACAACAACTACAATGGCAACAATATCAACTAGAATTACAACAGATGCATGAGCACCGACCACAGGCACCACCGCCGAGCGCATTTTGCAAACATTGGCTGCAGCAACAACAACAAATACAACGCGAACAGCAAAATTCAAATTCACATCAACTTAAGTAAGGAGCATATATAGCAGGAGCAAGTGCAGCAGGAGCAGTGGCAGGCAGCTGCAACAAATGCAACAATGAACACAGCAGCTACACTACACAGTTTTAGCTTAAATATTTATTAAGTGGTACGGCGACAAGCATGTAGCAAAAAGACGAAAACCATGAACATGTAGCAAGCAGCAAGCGACAAGTGGCAAGCGTAGCAGCACCTGCAGCAAGCAAAAAGTGAAAATTTACCAAAAAAAAAACATGCAAAAGTGTAGTTAAATAGTTTCGTTCAGCGCCCACACGGTTGTGGTTGTGATAAGAATGTATGTGTGTATGCGGCGCTACGCCGAGGAGCGCTACTACACATATTAATACAGAGCAGCTTATATAGATGTACATATACACATAAGTACGTATTTACATTTAGACACAAAATATTTACAATGGGTAATTTTATTAAAATATTGAAAGCAAAAAGACAGCAAAATTTAAAACTTCAACTAACTATTATGCACTTACAAGTTTACATGCATACATAAGCATAACTTTGCTAAGCTGTAAGCGATATAAGCTTATCACATAAACGTGTATGTTGTATTGAAGTGAGTGGTTCCATAGTGAAGCATACTTGCAGGCAACTGGTTGTGTAGCGAAAAGCTACTTAACTTACATATGTATGTATATCAAATAAATTTGGATGCAAACGAAATAAAACGTAGCCTAAACACAACACATATTTTGTACGTTGGTATGAGTGTATGTATGTAGGTAGATAGCAACAAAAAAAAATATTCCGAGTGCATGTTAGCTTTTGTCTTTCAGAAAAATATAACAATATAACAAATCAAATAGTATTTTGTCAAACTATATATGTATGTATGTATATGTATGAGTGTGTGTGGGAAAACGTATCGCATTCATGGCCTGTGTTGATGCAACCACTGTGCACGGCTTTCATATACTTAAGTGTGTTTCTCTAAATATCTATTTGTATGTGCTAAATTCTATTCTCTTATATGCAAATGTATAAGTAAATAACTTGTTCGACATAGATAACTGCATTTGCTCCGAAATTTCCTAACGCTTGAAACAACAGACTTAAATCCTTGGCATAACAACAGCCAAAGTTGTGTGGCAAAAAGAAGAAAAAACCTATGCATTTATAACAAAAAAAAACTGTACTATGTAGCGAATTCAGAAAGTCTCATGCATGTATATTAGGGTGAGTCCATTTTAAGCTATCAAAGATTTCAATAGACTTTAGAGATCAAGTATCATCTTCGAGCAACAATTTTTAATACAATGAACCTTGCGACTGCTGCAACAATTTGTTGTAGACAAAACACCAGGTATGGGTATTAATACAAGTATAGGGTGTAACCTTAAACCGAATTCACCATAATATTCTTTTCTTATGCTTCTAAAGATTTTTTCTTCACGGAGTCAATGTGGAAAGACACAACCTTCCTCTTTTCAGCGAACATAATATTATGGAAATCCGTTGAAAACGGTCCAATCTATCACCCTTGTTTTGACATAACATCCCGATTTTCAGTTTTTTGATCATAACTTGCGATTTTTTGGGCATAATTAAAATTCTGCTAATGCCAAAATTATTTTTTAGATCTTAGGTAGCCACCTCTACTTCATGACAGGAAAAGTACGTGCAACCATTTTTTTTGTAGCACCGTGTTATTTTATAGCCAAAACCAATAAAATCCTTTGAGCTTCGTTCGCTATACGAAATTTACATAAAAAAAAAGTATATTTTCCATAAAGCACTCATTAACCTAAAGCTGTTGTAAAGTTCTACCCTAATATAAATACCATCCTTTATTATTTCAGTTGCGCAAAGTGCGCTCTTAAAGCTCAACATATTCTTCTAATGTAAACTTTGCTAATTACTGCTGATTCCTATTTCGAGTAAACTTTCTGCTTGACTCTCCTCTTAGTCCTTTGAACTCTTTTTATGCTTTTGTATTAATTTAGTTTCTATTAGATCAGTATAAATACCAAATACATAGTACATATTCATGTAATTATTTGCATGTGTTGCTTTTTAAGTTTAATGTCTATAAAAAT